GGGTTTGGTTCTTTTTTTTTTTTTTCCATTCCATTGGAATCATATTGGTTTTGTAGCATTTAACATAACTAGTATGTTGTATTATATATATGTGTATTATACTGATTGAAATTTTTAACAGATTTGTACTTTTTTTAAAATGAAAGTTGCTAGTTCTGCTTGACCAAGTAGTGCAATCATTATTTTTTTTAATGTTGTGGCTGATTTTGAGAGGGATATTCACTAATAAATGTATGATGTATACCAACGCGCTGCGCCCCGGCTCTTCTCTCCGCATGGGGGCGCGGCCCCGGGGGGCTGAGGCCGGGCTAACACTCGGGACAGGGATGGAGGGAGTGTGCAGCTGCTGGCAGAGCCCCAGAGCAGAAGCAAGAACCAAGCCAGCTGTTCGGCCCCGTGATCCCGCTCCCACCCCGAGATCCTTCAGGGCTCACACTGGGATGGACAGTCCCACCAGGACAACAGCTCCCACCGCTCCCACCAGCCCAGCCAGGGAAGAGGCGATCCCCATGCCCCCTGGCCGGGTGGGAAAAGAGCACCCTAACCCTAACCACTCCCCCTGGGACAGAGGGCAGGAGCCCTGTGCTCGGAGCAAGGTCGTGGATTTGGGAATGTGGATCAAGGGAACAGATCTGGGAGGAAAACAAAGGATCTCCTCCCAGGTGAAGAGGCTATGCTAGGCCCTGTAGCCCCACAGCGAGGCGGGGCAAGAGCCAACAGCACAGCCCTGACCAAACCCAGGGGAGGGGGGGACAGGGGGTCACACCCCTCCTTCCCCCCCTCCATCCGAGGTGCGAGCAGCGCTGTGGCAGAGGGACAGCCCCCCGGCGCAGGGCTGGGGGCAGGAAGGACCCCCCCGTGCCGGGCTGGGGGCAGAGGCAGGAGGCACAGAGATGCTAGAGGCAGAGTTTATTACACTACGCAGGCTAAGAACCCCGGGCAAGGCCCCACGCGGGTAAGAATCGAACCAGCTCTTTATCAAAAAGTTAATACTAGAGTCACCCCCTTCTCCTTTGGTCATTACAAAGCAAGAGAAATATTAAAAGAAAGGTATTTATACACGGAGGGAAGCTGAAGAGATTCCATCCAGCCCTTCCCTCTCCCCCCGCAACTCCCAGCACGTTCCGGCTGCGGCAGAGTACCGGATCTTCACCCGGTGTCGGGCTGTCGGGGGTTTATCGTCCCTGTCGTCAGTAAAAGCAAGAATTACCAAGAGCTGCCCTTCCCGTTCCTCTCCGCCAGCTCCCCCTTCCCTCTCCGCCCTCCGAGCGCGGGGGGGACGGCCGCGGGGGCGTCGCGCGGGCGGCCTCTGATCCCTCGGTTTGTACGCAGTCTTTTAAAAAAAATAGCGTATTATAATAATATGAATTTCTTCTTTCCGTTTTGTGTCTTCTGGAAATAAAAAAAAAAAAAAAAGAAACGAAACCAAAAAAAAACCCACAACCCCCCCCCCCAAAAAAAAAAAAAAGTGTCAATCGTCCGTCAGGTCCTGCACAAAGAGGACTTCCGTGTGGCTGAGTCCGGCCTCCTGCAGCGTGGGGGGGTTGGGCCACTCCTCTGTAGGGAGGCAGGGCAGGACGCGGCGAGGGAAGTTGGCCTCGATCTGGAACTTCTCCGGGCTTTCTTTCAAGGAGAACAGGAAGTCATGGATCACCTGGGAAAGAAGCAGAGAAATCATGGCCAGCTGGGGGAGGATGAT